TGCATGAGATTTCATTAGAAATCGGACCTAAAAATCAATAGAATAAAAGTCATTGTAGATGGATAACTTTTTTAAACAAAGAAAACATTCTTGAATATTTCTTAAAAGATCAAAGGTAAATTACATGTTGTTATTTAAGCTTCTGTCAATAACAAGTAATCGAAAAATTTTTCAACAAGATGTTTGTTTACTTTTAACTTGTTCGCAAGTATTTCAGACGAGTTAAAATTCACTACTCATATAAAAAGTAAGCAAACATCTTGTTTTAAAAACTTTTTCATCACCTGTTAGTTATCAGATCTCGAAATCGGGCTATTTTTTGATGGTCTGTATTGGGTCAAGAATTGCACATGCCTGCTCGGTTCAGATTTTCTTAAAATGGCACTATTAAAAGCATATTTCATGAAGAAACCTCACACTCCCTGCACTCATATATAAGAATATTATAAAAAGTTAATTATTCCAAGAATCACAAGTTGAATAAGATAGGATAATTTTCATGCTTAAACAAAACAGCACGAGAGATAAATCAAATTGTTTATTGAACCCGAAAGACTGAGATATGTTCGTAGATACTCTAACTTCTTGTAGATTATCATTTATTAACATAAGCTTTCATGGGTAAAATGCCTGATGATCAATTTCAAAGAGTCAGATCGATTACTATTTATAGTTACATAGTTAACACTATTCCACACCCAGTAACACTCATGCCACTTAACACTGTTGATAGTGCACTCGGCCTTGTGTGTAGATAGGAAATGTAATTGAACTGAATGAGTGTTCTGCTTTTATTTATTGACTAAATAAAACTTCCAGAATATTCACATAATAAAGGTTCGTGATTGTTACTAGTTGTGAGATATAAAATCCATATAAGAAATTTTGACAAAAAATCAGAATAAAATCAATTAAAATTAGATTTTTTTCTATTTTCTTACGTGGAAAATATTCGTTGAAAAAAAGAAATCTAATTCAAGCCTAATTATCGATTAAATAGAAGTATTTTGTCAATTTAATTTCATTGTCAAATAGTATTTTAGTCATTCCAAATTGACCAGATTTCTATCAAATGTTAGCGAATCTATAGTTGTAAAATCTCGATCTCTAAAACCGTCTTCAAAAATTTTTCACAATAATAACGGGTGACCCATAATGAATGGCCGCACTTTGCATTACATATTTTAATTTCAAAATAGGTATTATTAAAAAAACAAAACATACTATGAGATGCAGCGTAAAAAGCTCTACAATCTAGGAAGTAAACCTTATTTTAATTGTGTACTTTTTGTTTTCAAAAAAAGCAAAATTCTGTGCGATCAACTTTCGTCGTTGCGAAAAAATCATTTTTTTCTACACGAACGAGAATTCCTTTTATCTTTTTATCACACAATATGTCTTCATAAAAAAAACAAGGTATACCACAAGATGCAGCGTGGAACGCTCTACAATTTACACAGTAAAGCTTAGTGTAATTGCTTTCAAAAAAAGAAAAATTCTGTGTGAGCAATTTTCGCACGGTCGAAATTTGGACGCTCAAAATTTTGCCCATTTTGAAAATAAAAAGTGCAACTATAAAATAAGCGATCTTATGTAAATTGTAGAGCTTTTCACGCTGCACCTCGTGGTATATTTTGTTTTTTTAATAATACGTATTTTGAAACAAAAATATGCAATGCAAAGTGCGGCGATTTATTATGGGTCACCCGTTACATTGATGGTTTCTGATCATAAATTCAACGAGTAATCCAAGTTAAAACCTAATTTTTAGAGTTCTCTTACTTTAAATGATAGAAAACTATAAATTTTTTCTCTGATGTTTTGAATGCATTGAACACGTTTTTCCAGAAAAGTCAATTTTTTAGACTATCGAAGCTTTATTCATTGACCTTAGAATGCTCTTAAAATTTTAGTCTAATTTGATGCGTTCTTCTTGAGATATCGAATATCTAAAAATAATCATGTCACAAGGAAAAGTAAGAAAGTTCAATGTTTTCAATAGTCGACATTTCCAGAAAAGACAACCCTTTAAGCTGAAATTTTCAGTGTATTCAGATACCTGCACCCGCAAAAATTCAAACAGAAATCCCTTACTTTGATTTTTTTCATAAATACTTTGTCAGAGATAAAAAAAAAAAAGAATACAGTAAAATTCTAATAACTTGAAAGGAACAGCGCATGGAGACGAACCCTTTTAGATTTTGACTAGTCTTGTTGAAACCTCCTAATAGGTAAAATATCAGTTCAATTGACGAGTCACACTTGAGAGTTTTCTCTCGTTAATGAAACAGTTGTTTCATTGATCATCTCAGAATATTGACGAAGAGTATACTAATCATGTATTTCTATATTTACTTGTTCTATAAGAATAATCATCCTTGTAACAATTGGATAATTTTCTTCAAGAATAATATTTACTGGAAAATATAAAAATAATGCAATATAACAACAATATGCAGTCAACCAAAGCCAATCAAAAATCACTAAAAAAATAATAATAAGAATATTCTTAAAACAATCTATTCTTCTTACTTAAACTAGTCGTTTTTTTCTTAAGTTCTTCTGTATCTGTTGATGATGATGAACTAATTGGAATTAAAGAAAGACGTTTATATGCCCAAAAATGAAAACAATAATAAACAATTGCACATGTTGACATAAATAGAAAAAACCATAGACGTAAACATGCTGATAAATTCGAAAAATTCCATCGAATAACATCAAATTGAAAATCAACTCTAAAACAAAAACAAGCAAACAAACAAACAAAAATTGTCGTCTTCGAAAAAAAAACTCAATTCTACATACGTGCCCTTTTCAAATAGATCAGTTATTGCAACTTGCAAGACAAGTAGAACAAGAATAGAAACAAATATCTGTCGTATTGATCGTATATGTGATACTTCAAGTAATTCTGTAAGTATAGATGAACGCATACGAAAGGTTTTTGTTGGAAATGCGGACGATGTTCTATTTTAAATATACTAAAAAAATTATGAAATTCATTTGTTTTTTTTTTCGCTCAAACTTTTTTATATCAACACTTTGTTTTGATGCAATTGTCTGTGACGATGCTTCATTTGCTACTTTATTTATTGATGCTAAATCATTATGAGATACAATAGGTTGTTGAATAATTTCATTAATTGATGGCATTTTTGATGCTTGTTTTATTTCGGATGAAAATTCTTCAAAACGGCTTGTTACATAATTAAGCATTTCAGAACGAAGTCGCTAAAAAAAAAAAAAAAGAAAGAAAATTTTTTCTTGTTGAAGTTTTATTTATTAAAATATACTTCAGTTGCATTTTGAATTTTTACTGTTCGATCAACACGAGTAAATTCAGCACTTGCAGATCGTTCTATAATTAAAACAAAAAACAAAGGAAAATTATAGAATAGAAAAAGAAACAACACTAAGACTTCAACTAACCATGACCACGTCTTTCAGTTGAACTCATTATTGATATAAATAATGAAAATATATCGAACAATAATTTTTTCTTTTGATTGACAATCTAAAGTGTTCGATTTACGCTTAGAAATTTATAAAGATATGAAAAATAATAAAAGCAAACATAAATGCACCCTTTCTATGTTATCTATTGATAAGCAAAAATGAAACACTCAATGACAAACAGGCAAAAAAAAACTTCACTCGGATGATAATTAGACAATGTGATACCTATGTATACTATCAGTCTTAGCAAAAATAGTGTTGCAAATGCTATAACTAGTATTCATATACTATCTTATGTGTCTTTATACTTCGTTCGAAACAGAGAATATGTCGCACTCATATACTTAAAACTTCAATATGCGCTAACACACTCAATGTATGAAGTATTGAGTTATTGTTTCGAGTGTCGAATAATAATTCACCACAAGTATAGTTTATTGATGTTATAAAGTAACAATAAGAAAAATGTTGTCGTCATTTAACCTATTTCTCTCATTTATATAATCTATGCCCGTAGAGGGACAATTTAGAGAAAAGAGAAAAAAAAAGAAAAATCGCGTCATCATTAGATCAACTTTTAAGATCATATTTATAAAATAAGCAATTTATTAGTCATAAATATCAACAAATACGCCTATTTGTGTGCATTAGCAACCAATTTCAATAGAGGATTGACGTAAATGAAACGCGTATTTACTCTTTTCTTATCGAGTGAACTCTTTCTTTTGAACACTCAAACATTTTCGATAATGAAATCAATATTAATTATCATTCTTTTCTACAATTTGAAGAACTTATCAAAATACAATATAAAAATCAATGATTCATAACTTAATTCTATTGGTACATATATTTTGATCAATTAAATATTCTCTATAACCATTTATTTAAAAGATGCTTTATAAATAAATAGAAAAAAATATCTATCAATGATTTATAGAGTTTAAACTTTTTTTCATATTTAACCAAGATTATCATTAAATATTATTTAAGATTAATATTGTATATTAGTGACCTCTAGGATTTAAATTTTATGACAAAATAATTCCAAAATTTAATAAAATCTTTTAAAATGAAATGAAATTCTTCTAATATAAATTATTTAGTAATTATCAAATAATAATTACTATCTAATTCATTGACATTTATTTCTAAATTTGAAATGATCCTCCTCTTTGACGCTGCACTACCCGTCATGATGTCTTCATTTTCTTAGATTTATGTTTTCTTTGTATGAGACCCTCGAATTAACAAAATCTATATCTACATTTTATTTCTTTCTGTTCTAGAAAGATCTATCGTCTTGTTTCACATGTTAATCGAACTATACAAGTGAACATAGATTAAAACCCTAGACAAACGTTAATATTCACTTTTTCTTCTTTTTCTTTTGGTTTAAATCAAATGTGACTATACTTGGCCGGTATATATATTTGTTTGTAGTCATTATCTAATCGAAATCGTTATATAAACAGAAAGAGAAATAAAATCTATAAGATTATCGTCACTTTTCATCCTTCACAGTCGAAGAAAGTATCAAAATGAGCTTAGCTAATAATCCATCTGTAAAAAAACCATCATCAACTGGTACAACCGATTCACCATATCTTGGCTCGAAAATTAGTCTTGTATCAAAAGCTAAAATTCGTTATGAAGGTATTCTATATACAATCGATGCTAATGAGTCAACTGTAGCACTTTCAAAAGGTAAGTACATTGCAAAAAAAGAAAAAAACACAACATCATTATTTTTTATTATTTATTTAGTGCGTTCTTTTGGCACAGAAGATCGTCCAACTGATCGACCTGTACCAGCTCGTGATGAAATTTTCGAATATATTATTTTCCGCGGTGCTGATATTGAAGATTTACAAGTTCGTGAACCTCCGCAAAGTACACTTACGCAAGATCCAGCTATTGTTGAAGTACGTTCAATTCTCTTATTCTTCATTTTGTCAAAATTCTTTTTGTTTTTTGTTTTATCATAGTCATCTATGTATCCTGCTAGTGCTCGTTCTACTACAACTGGAACAACTAATAATCTTGGAGGTAGCCAAGCACGTTCATCATCAAATCAAGGCACAATGTCATCACCACCTGTTCAACAAGGTCTCAATAAAGGATCAAAATCTTCATCTAATACGGATCCATTACGTCAGTTAAATTTAAATCAACAACAATCATCAAGACCATTTAGTCAACAATCAACATCAGCACAACTCGAAGGACAAGATTATTCATATAATAATAATAATCAAAGACGTGGTCGTCAACAACAAGATTATTACAATGATTTTAGTAATAATAATAATAACAATCGTCGAGGAAATCAAAAATATGGTTATACTGAATGGTCTCGTACAAATAATTCTGGATGGGACAATAACTATCGTCAACAGCAACAACAATCACAACGATATCCTCGACAACAACAGCAACAACAAAATTATGAAGGAAATCGTTTTTATCCATCAAGACGTAAGCTTTTATGCCTCTTATTAAAATTTATTCATCCGTTTTTTACCTGTCATATAAAGGTACAAATAATAATCAACAAGCCAATGGTTATTATGGTTATCGTGAACGACGTAATTCAACAGGTGGTATAACAGGTAGTCAACAGAATCAACAACGAAATAATCGTCAACAACGTGAACGTGCCAATTCAATACGTGGTAATAGTAATAGTCGATCAACATTAAAATTTGTTGGTGATTTTGATTTTGAAAAATCCAATGCTGAATTTGATAAAAATGCTATTGAAGATGAAATTAAAAAAAGTTTATCAATTAAAACAACTAAAGATAGAGATGATAATACAGATAAAGAAAAAGAAAAAGAAAATGAACAACAGCAACAACAACAGCAACCACAAACGAATTCATCAACAATTATATTAGAACAACAACAAGAAACACATCCAGAAGGTTATTATGATAAACAAAAAAGTTTCTTTGATCGAATCTCATGCGAAACAACAGAAAAAGAAAAAAAGTATGTTAAACGAAAGAGAACAATCTTTTTATTGAAATTTAATTTGTTTGATTTTATAGTACTTCACGTCGTAATTGGAATGAAGAACGTCGTATAAATGCTGAAACATTTGGTTTAAAATATCGTCCTGTACAACAAGGTAACAATCAACGTAATGGACAAGGAGGTTATTATAATAATAATCGTCGATATAATGCTGGCCAACAATCATATTATGGTAATGGTGCTCGTTATCAACGTGGTGGTGGTGGAGGAGGAGGAGGAAATTATGGTGGTGGTCAACAATATGGTAGAAATTCATCATATTATGGCAATACAAACAAACGAATGCAAACCTATTAGAAGCATAACAAATTTTTGTAAGAAAAAAAAAAAACAACAGCGGCTTCATTTGTATGCGTGTATGTTAAAGCGAGTATATAGCAGTCATTTGGTATAACCGTTCTATATCTTTTTCTTTTTTTTTTCTTGTCTTTCGTTTGTTCGTATAAGCCGTCATTTCTTATATCTATCCTCTGAACATTTTACTTTTTCTTTTGCTGATTTTGACTGTCGTTCTCGTGCTGTTTTCTTTTTTCCTTTTTTTTTTTATTTAACATAAACTTATAACAAATTATCATATGTTGAGAAGAAAGAACAACTGAAAATTATATTTAAAAAAAACAACATATTGAGGCATGATTTAAATATATATGTAGATTTTTTATTTGTGTCAAACAGAAACTAAGTTTTTTTTGTGGGTTATAAACAAATAAAAAATGATGCAAAAGATCGATATAAGAATGAATAAACAATTTTAATGAAATTTTAAGACTTCATATTTTGTTTCTTATTTCTTTTTTGGAATGAGTTCAATTTCAAGATTTTATTAGATAAAATTCTGTGATCAATTTAAAAATCGTTTAGGCTTACATATCAATGTGGAATACTACCAATCAAACTTGAAAAACGATTGAGTTCTTTTCACAAAAATTGTGTCGACCGGTTGAAATCCTTGACTACAAATGCACGAGATCAATATTTAAAATATTGCCAGGATTGGGAATACGAGCTCCTGAGATTTCTAGCACTAAATATCGTTACTTTAGTTTGTAACGTATGATCACACGCTAATGATAAGAAATAAAGGGAAAGTATTTATATTCCCTTAATAAATATATGACTTCTTGATAAGAAATGATAAATTTGGTGTTTTTGTTTGTATTTGAAATCATTATTTAATGAACTTGAAAGTAAAATGTGTGCTTCTTTATTTTTGTGTTGCCATGAAAAAGTCAAGAAGTAGTCTTAGCCTTACTTAAAAGACTTTTGTCATTTTTCAACTGCTATTTCTGATAGAACAACTGCATAAGTACAATGTTCAATTTTTAAATAGATTTCTTTTTTTTTTTCATTGATTCTTATAAAGATCTGAGCTCCTCTTTAACGTTGTATGAGACTAGCAACCAGTGAAAATGTTACATTGCAACAAATTTTTTTCTGTTATTTATACAATTAGACTAATCAAAGATTTGCGGACTATTAAGAGTTTCTGACAATCAGTAGCCAACAGACCAAAAGTGAGCATGAAATTTTAAGACAGGCCATTTCTACTATAGACAAAAAAAATAGTAGATTACATTGGGCCAATATTGAGAGCTTGAATTTCGATGACGACTAGACGTTTATCGACTCAGAATTTCGAATTCATTCTTCTTCAACATGCAAACGATGAAAATCGACAAAAATTGGCGATTATAGAGAATATAACTTATTTACTAACAAATGAAGTTTCATGAAAAAGTAAAATATTATGTCTCTTGCAGAGTTTTCAAAATGTTTATAATTTGAATCTGTTTCAATTGTTATGCTAACACTCTATTTGATTATTTAGAAAAATGGATTATGCTTGAATTGTAAAAACAAAGAAAGTTTTGATTTAGGAACAAAAACAATAACAGCTAGGGAAATTTAAAAAAATTTTTTTTTTTTATTAAACTGTTCACATGTTTGATTTATGTGTATCTCCCTGTATAAGTATGATTTGTCTGAAATTACATAGTTGTTTCATCATTATATATATAGGCAAGGTGAACTGGGACCAGTTTTTTTCGCTGCGCCCTTGTCGATCTACATCGAAACACAGGATTAATACTTTTTCATTAAGAGCGATATCCTGTATATTTTTGTAAAACGTACCGCGAACGTCATATTGACACGATTCATGTGTTCTAAATACATATAGGTTAGATAGTCTCGATTTCACCGGGATCGGCATCAGCACCAAAAAACGATTGGTCTCCTCCGTATCTACTCGACATTTTTTAAATTTGTTTCTTTTTCTTAATCATCAAAAATGAATCACATATGTGTCGAAATGATCTATCACTAAACAATTGCGTCAAAATAAAACAACACCTCTCTCATCCTCAATTCATTTAATACAATTAACATTAGAACACTAACAATCAAGCCGCTTCTCTAAACTATTAATTATGTATCTAATGTCATACGATAAAAAGCAATTTTCTTCTTTTATTCGTTATTTAACAAAACATTTTTTTTTTGTTGCATTGAAACAAACATATACATATAATTGCTTTACAATGATTTCACACATGAATGCAAATAAACGTTAACAGCTTATCAAATAATATTTATGAATCGCCATTTTAAATGAGATCAAATCAACACTTCATTAAAAAACAATGTCTTTTTTTTTTTCTTCTTTATTATTATTATTATTTTCTTGTCACAAAGAAATAGTAGACAAAAGAAAATTAAAGTCGATTATTGATCTTTAATTTTTGTAACAGTCAATGCGGCACACTTGAAATGCGAATGATCCGTTCGTGAAAATAGAGATGGTGTGAATATAAAAACAAACATCATTCAATCAATTGTTTTTTCAAAGAAGATTAATTCATTTTTCTTTTCCTCTTTATCCATTCAGTAAAATATTATATCCAATCAAAAAACAAAATCTTCTCTCTCTCCCTCTCTCTTCATCATATAATATAAGTTTCATATCTACTTTCTTCATTCATTTCTCAATTGATCATGTCAAAAAACTTTTTTATCGATGCTCTACTTAATAGTAATTATGATAATCAAAAACGTTCATCATTATATATAAATTCATATTTACATGAACAAAGTTTAAATTCAGGTAAATATTAGACATGAATATCTTAATTTTTGTTTAATGAATTAAATTTTATAGATAGTTTAAATTGTCTAACGACAAGTGATAGTGATGAAGATGATAATTTATCATTAAATAAAAGTTCAACAACAACGACAACAACAGCAATATCACGTCGTAAACGAACAGCTTTTACAAATGAACAATTAATGGAATTAGAAGCAGAATTTCAACAAAAAAAATATTTATCACTTGTTGAACGTTCACAAATAGCACAAACATTAAATTTAAGTGAAATACAAGTAAAAATATGGTGGCAAAATCGTCGAGCAAAATGGAAACGTATTAAAACAGGACAATTACAACAATTTTCAATAAATTGTCAAACAAACAATAAAATTTGTTGTCCTATACCAGTACATGTTAAAAAAGATTTTGCATCGTGATTTAATTTTGGATCGTTTTTGTTTTGTTTTTGTTTTCTGTATAAAAATCTAACTTTAAATTAAAAGAATATAGATTTAATCATTCTTATATTCAAAACAATTGAATCGATTCATCAAAGGTAGACTATCTGATCTGTTTAATGAGTTGAAATTTATATGGAATACAACAAAATATGATATTACCACTCAAGAGATTGATGTTATATTACTGATATAATCATAGAGAGTTAAATACATGAGATAGTTTACTCCTGCTGAGAACTTAAAATTGACTAAAAGATAAGATAGTGGATGAAATGTGTATAACTTTGTGTAACAATTCTTTTCAACGGATTTGTTTATAGAGAAATTTTTTGTTTTATGTTGTTGAACTTCTTACAATCTTCTGTTAGATCGCACGTATTCATGGTATTGACATAGGCTCGGCAGGTGTTGCACTGTCTAATTAGAAACTGTATAGTCATCAACGTATTCATCATCGAGAGAAGTATTTTCCTCAGATAAAATTAGACAGAAAACCAATTCATAAATAAATATTGAAATTCTTTACAAAAAAAAAACATAATTTCACACGATAATGTCGAGTAGATGCCATTGGAGTAGTTAAGTATCCAGTCGAGGTTTACAGCTCTGAAATTTTTTCGAGCGGACTACTTCTAATGTTGAATATCTGCAAAGATTGATTGTAGTTGCTCACTATGTTCTAAAATAGAGCGTGGATTGATTATTGACTCTATATTAGTTGATGTGATTTATTATTTTCATAGCTTAAGATTTTCTTTTTTTTTCATCAATTTTCTATGAGTAATATTCTGTCAACATGATGACACTTGAATAACTATACAGTTTGTAATTAGACATTCGAACATTTTCTCCATGAAAAGGAGCATCAGCTTGAAGTTTTAGGTTATACATAGTGAAACAGCTGCTTAACTAATGTCTGAAATTATCGGTTTTCATTTCAAATTTATCATGATCTATTTTTCAACACTATAACTCGAACAAACAAGGTCCGACAAAAAGCGACTAATATTCAAAAGAAATCTAAAACTTTTTATACAACACAATTCTTTTTTGTCTGTTAAATTGTGAACATATGTGATTGACTTATAACGATTTAAAAGAGCGACAGATCAACCATTTTCATGGGGAAATAAAAATTATCATTTAGTATATAGCACAATTCCCATAAGCAATTATCTCTTGACATTTTTCATCATTATATATTTACTTTTCAAGAAATAGAAGTACATAAACGATTCAAATAAAAAAAGAATTTTTTTTTGTTTCTTTTCCTCATCCATTCAATCGATCATTGCTTTGATATTGGATCATAACAAGAAAAAACAAACAAATGCTGCTAATCGTGCCTCAAAAAATAAAAATTGTGAGTAAATTAGAAGCATCTTTGGCAGATCACTTATCACTTTAATATTATGTATGCATTTATTGATGATAGATTGACTTTATTGCTCAATCGTTTACTCATTTTTATAATGACAAGTCATTATCAATGAATGATTATTACTGTTAATAATAGGCGTTTGTTTCTATTTTGTTTTTAATAAAATATGATAGAAAGTAGTATGATTTACTATTTAGATTTTTCGCTCGTGCAATGCGTCGTTAAACAAATAAATTCGAGATATCGATTAACTTCATTCGGAAGATAAAATATCTTTTTCTCTAGTGACTTTTTCTTTTTTGTGCTTCTAAATTTCTGTAAGAACCATTATAGAAGATAATCGATATATAGATATGTATATGATCTT